AAATGCTCCAGAAAGAAGCATCCCGTTCTCCAAAAACAACAAAAAAGGGCAAGGTCTGATTCTTTAAAAAAAAAAAAAGTGCCATTTTTGCCACTTTTTTTCTTCAACATCTTCTTTTCTTTTAGATCCAATTTAAAGTGCATGGATGAGGTAAACTATTTTCTCCATAGTTTATTTGTCTCTTTTTTTATATGTATTTACTTTTTATGTTATTTATTTTATTTAACGCTTCCTTTTCCTTCTTTATTTCTTGTTGAAATCGCTCAGACGGGAACCATTCTGCCTTGCATCTGTTGCATTTGGGACAGCATTCCCTGGACGCTGGTCAGGATTTTGTTCTGGTGTGCGGACGAGGAGATGCCGATGCGCCCCATGTCCCTGCAAAGGATAAGGGAAAAAAAAGCTTTTAGGAACAGGTACAACGATAACACACATGTCGGCCTGGTGATGATTTTCACAGCCTTGCTCTGGAGAACTGTCCTGACACTTTAACGGCTGTTTAAGGGATTGCACTTGCCAACACAGCAATCCTAATCCTGTAATCTTAGCGGCTGAGAAATGAAAATATAACCGACAAGTGACAGACTGAGAAACATTTAACACATGTGGACTTTGCAAAATGTGTCGTAGATTGATTCTGCTCTTATATACACATATCTGCTTTCTCGCTGAGAGATATAGGAGGAGATTGACTCTTCATATAAAGCTTCTTATTTCTACTTTTAACTTGTACCAACTGGCACTATATTACTTCCTTATTTCTTTTATGTCTTAACTAAATTAGGCTCTTTCACACCGGAGTACTTTAACCCGTACTTTTCCCGTTTAGTTCCGTTAGTGCCTGGAATTTTGCGTTCACACCAAAAAGAGAACTTAGTTCAGAGAACTTTTCCCCCCTTTTCAGTCCCTGCTAGAGAGGTGGGACTATCCTGGGGAGAAAAAAGTTCCAATTTCTGATTGGCTGGGCGGATTGCAAACCACGCCCCGTAAAACTCTGAAAAGTTTTGTGAAGCCGCCATTGTATTTGCTGGCATTAGCATTATTAGCATTAGCATTAGCCCCGCACACCAACGGAGAGAGACTAACTTATGGCAACACAAAATAAAACATGGGAGCGGTGGAGATGAGGAGGTGTCGGCGTTCTGGCGATTTACTCTGAAGGCTTCAGTAGAAGCTGCTGGGAGTCCCAGCAGCTTCTACTGAAGCCAGTCCCCAACTCCGGGGACTTCCGGCCGGGGATTTCGGGCGGCAGTATACGCCGTGAAGTTGTTTGCGGTCTGCCAGTAAACCCAAAGCAGAAGAAGAAGAAGTGACGTCAGCGGCTCATTCGCGTAATCTTCCCTCAGGGAACTTATTCCGGTGTGAACGCGATAACCTCAATGGGGGCACTAAGTAATGGGAACTAAATTGATGTGAAAGCGGCTATTGTATGTTTTCCTGGAGGAGCGTGGGACTTAAAAGGTTCTTTCCAACAACTTCGCTGTAGCTATTTTCCATATAAATAATAAAGCCTTTCAATCTCGTGACAGATGCAACTGTACCATTTAACCCTTTGTACAATTTAGTGGTGTTGCTAGGCAGAATATAAACCATTGTATAGATCCAGCCTAGATGTTTTCTCCTGTTTGTATGCTAAATTAAGCTAACTGGCTACAGGATGTTGCTTCATATGTAACAGATTACAGTGATATCACATTTAAATAGGAGTGTTTGCCAAATCACTAAACTACTCCTATTCCTATTTAAAGATTAATATCTTTAAAAAGTGACTAACAATATTATATTTCAATCAAAATGTATTTCTAAAAAAGAAGCAATTTCACTTCAATTTTTTTTTGCAGAAATGAAAAACATATTCTTGTGATGTATCCTTCAATTTCTAGAATAACTCATCTTATTCTTAGTCTTTTAATAAGTGAACAATTCATCTTACAGTTTTCTTCTACTAAGACCAAGTAAGACTAATACATGTCCCACTAACTTGCACCTTCTTCTCTTCCCCTCTCTTTCTGTTTACTCCCCACCTTTTATATCCCCCTCCCCACTCACTCTTGTGTCATGTGCACCACGGCCTCTGGAGAGGTGTATCCGGCGGCGGTGAAGTTGTCCCGGTATTTCTCCATGCCGATGGCCTGCAGCCAGTCCTCCACCGTGCCCACGGACGAGGTCGCCGCCTCGGGGCTCCCCGGCTCCAACAGGGTGGTGCTCGGCCTGGTGGGTGGAGGAGAGGACGGGGGGGAGTTAATAATAGTGTAATAACTTACAGACAGTGTTTGGTTCTCCAGCTGTAGCCCAAAAACCACAATGTCTGTGTAAATAGACAATAAAAGTTACGAAATCCACTTTGTTACACACTCTGGAACACCATTGAATCATGACAACAAAAACAGCATAGAGTGGTGCATTGAGGATTGTTTTGTTAGCTGAACAGGATGTTAGCATCTCAAAGGGCTCCGTCGACAAAAAGCCAATGCTATTTGAACATTGAATTTCGGAATAATGCGGAAAATAAAATCTTTGGCAAAGAAACGTTTAGTTACAAAGGATAATCTCCACATGTACTCCACACACTTTTATGAATTTTGAAGCGTTAATGCCATCTCCAGAAGCAAAAAGGTAACGTTAGGCTATAAAGGAACTTCACGTCTTCACCGCTAAGCTAAAGGCGGCTAATGTTGGGCGTCTCATTTCGTCACAATTGTTATGTAACATAGAAGCTTCATATATTCACCAGTGGGTTGTTTACTGATATTTTGTTTTGCTTTAGAACAAAACATCGGTTTTGGAAACAGCAGAACTTATATCTAAACTTTTAAACACGATTGAC